AGGTTTTGATGCAGAAATATGAAAAAATATATTTTATCAAAAGTCTTGATGTTTGATTGACTGGCTTCAATGATATTTTTCTGACTACCTTCAAAAAGTAGATTACTCAGGGCCCAGCTAACAAAACTAGTCACTTGTATGCATTATTTCATGTATTTTTATGGCACTTCTTTCCAACAAGATAAATATTCTCACTGAGGAAGTGAAGCTCAGAGAGCGGTTCTGTGGCTTTCCCAAGTTTACAAAGGTAGCAAATAATAGAGGGAGAGTTATGGCCACTGTTCTTTCCTGAAGGCAAAAATGGACTCTGAATTCACTTTTATATTCCTAAAATTAAGTAGGAGTAACTTTCTCAGGCAGTCAGTAATAATCCAGATTTTACTGTCTTGATCCTCTGGGTGACTGAGTCTTTAAAATATGGTACAGATTCAGTGTTATCTGAGAACTGATGGAGACTTTAAAGGAAAAAAGAGATAGGAACCTGCTATCTCCTGTCTTCCAGCCATATCCTGGTTCCTGTTAGTAGTGGTTGGTCCAGGCTGAATTAATTACAGTTTAGTTCCTTTGCTTTCTGGCCAACAGGACAGACAAAAGCCATTAGCCCTGCCCCAGAAACATAAATAAACTTTCTCCCTAGATACCATCTATTCCACAGTGTGTAATTTTTGCTGGGGAAGGAGAAACAAATTAGATAACCTTTCAGAGACCCTTCATAATGTAAGCCTCTGGGATCTGAAAATAGTTAGAACTGGCATCTGGTAAGTCAACATTGCCCAGACTAAATGAAAGAATGATTGGAAAGGAGCAACAAGGTACAATGTAAAATGTAATTCACTAAAGCAGTTGTAATAGTAAGCTCCATGAGAAAGAGCCAAAGCCGTACAATTTCCTAACATTCACCAGTAGCCAAAGCCAGAACATCATTAGAAATAAGACATGCTTTATTCCAAAGGTGTTTCCAATGAAATTATAGAAATGCTGAAGGTTTTCTTTCACATTTTTTTCCCTTCAACCAACCAGGTGTGGTGGTAATGCATTGTAGCACCCAAGGCCTCTCACATGCCAGGCAAATCCTTCCTCCCTGAGCCACCCATCCTCAGCTCACAATTTGCCTTAAAAAGTTTCTGTTAAAGTCTCGGTCCCTAGGGAAGTGCTGTTAGGAGATCTTTACATAATTGGAGACTTACCCTAAAAGATGACTATGAGACTCTACCCCCTTCATCTGTTCCTTTGTTCCTTAGTGACGAGGTGCACCGTTTGGCTCTGCCACACACTCCTACCATGATGTATTAGACCCAAAAGTAATGGAGCCAGTCAAATGTGGATGGAACTTCCCAAACTAGGAGTCCAAATAAACCTTAAACTGTTATCTGATTATCTCAAGTATTTTCTTACAGTGATCATAGCCCCATCTCTACCTCAGGTTTCATACCACAAACATGACCATATGGTGGAGGACCAAACTGCCACTACATAAATCTTTGAAGGTTAAGCCACAGTCAAACCATGACACCATGGAGTCATAGGCAGGATGGGCTATCCAGGAGGCTATGCCCAAGTGTGGCTGTCTCTGAAGTTGACAGGGACCGTACGTAGATGTCATAGCATCAGCCAAACTAACTGTGCCCTCTCACCTTCATTTCTTTGCACCTTGAGCCTTGTCTTGTTGGCTTAAAAGGCATTCCTTCTCCTTCCTCTTCCCATCTAGAATTAGCTAGCAGGTCCTGTGTTGGGCCCTAGAGAGTTGTTCTTCATTCCACTCTTATCACAAAATTTCAGAGAAAAATAAATTAGAAAAGCAACACCTTCAGTTATATCTCTCATGTGTCAGTGAAATCAAATACATTTGTCTAACCACGCTTATGCTAGGTTGGAGCTATGAAGGATATTAGAAAGCAGTGATACAATGTCACTTGTTAAGTTAGAAAATGGAGTCTAAGGAAAGTGAGGTAACTTGCTCCAGGACACAAATTTAGATACTGTTCCCAATCAATAGTCTTTTCACTATGATAAATGACAATATATCCATTTAATTAAAAAAACAGAATTCTTTCTATAATGCAATATGATACAAGTTGCAAATTGATTCTTTAGAATAGCTTTTCATTAAAAACTGATTTGTGCCAGCACTGGTGCTCATGCTTGTAATCTTAACTACTCAGGTGGCTGAGATATGAGGATTCCAGTTTGAAGCCAGTCTGGGCAGGAAAATCCATGAGACTCTTGTTTCCAATTAATCATGAAAAAAGCTAGAAGTGTCACCATGACTCAAGTGATAGAGCACTAGCCTTGAGCAAATAGGAGCTCAAGGACAGCACCCAAGCCCAGAGTTTGAGCTCCATGACCAGCAAAAAACAAACAAAAAACAACCAAACAGAACAAAACAAAACACCTACTGATTTGTTTTGCAATGCATACTTGTTGCCCTCATTTACTCTATATGAAATTTAAAAGCTTTGAAGCATAGCCAGGTTCCTTTTGTAACTTAGAGATAGATAGGAGCCAGTGTTTTGAGGGACATGACAACTAAAAAAAAATAAAGAGTTTGATGCTGATTTTTTTTAGTAGATTGAATCATTTAACTACTAGGATGTGTGGAATCTTGAAATGGGAGCTGTGGGGGAAAATGATAAAAGTCATTGCATTGGTCAAGATGCATGATACTCATAAACAGACATGTTGAATTGAAGCCCCTGAATCCCCTTTGTACAACTCCTTAAAAATGGTAAAAGAAATAAATTAAAAAATAAAAGTTTTATTCTTAGCCTATTTTGACATTCTGCATGAATATTTACTAATCCACAGTACATATGAGTTTACTGTTAATAACAGACTCATAGTGTAAGGAATTTAGGGTATAGCTCAAAGATAAAGCATTTGCTTAGTATATGTACAGCCCTAGGCACTGATTCCTTGAAAGAAAGAAAAATAGATTCATAGAGTGATTCAACATTAGTGTTGCCAGAGAACCAAACATGAAACAGTACTAGAAATAATTGGGCAATGTCCCATTTGTGGGCCTTAGTAAACAGGCATGTTTACAAAAATACACAGGGCAAAATCAGTGATTAACTAAGAGTACAAACATGAGCCCCGGGCACCTGGCACAAATCAGTTTTTAATGGAAAGCTATGCTAAAGAGTCAAATTGCAAGTTATATAATATTGCATTATAAAGAAAATTCCTTTTTTAAATCTAATGAACATATTATCATTTATCATAATGAAAATTTAACAAACATCGATTGCTCACCAAATGCCAAGCAGTATGTCATACAATCCCAAAATTCTTGGCAGACTGATGGTCTTACAATCATTCCTGAGTTGATTATTCACTAGTTAATGTGGAAAGACTTATCTACTATATGTAAGTGTGCAATCCTTTCAAATAACAAGTAAGTAAAAAGATCCACTAACATTGTGAAAATTCCCCTAGTTAGAAATATTGAGAAAGAAATCATTTTGTACCACCTCATATTCAAGGAAATTTAGGTACCTTTCAGATGTCTGTTCTCTGCCTGCTTCTCAGGCTTTCTATACAGCAGGTAAGAGAAAGGAGCAGCAATAAACAGTACCCAGTATTAAAACCCATCTTCCTCCCCATGGATGGTCCAGTGGACAGCAAGGACCCTAGTTACCATCTATTATGATTTAACTAGTATCAGCTTCCTTTATGTGCATCTGTTTAAATAATCTGTGGTTTTAAAGGAGGAAATAGGATTCCTTTGAGTCTAGCAATCACTAGAAAACACTGCTGTGGAAAAGAAAATAATGCTATATTGTTATCTGATTAAAAATAATCTTGAAGTAGGATGCGAATCATCAGAAAGAAGACTAAAGTTTTCAAAAGACAGAAATTCAGATGACCCACTAAATAATAATATATGACTTTCTTATACCAACACTCCTAGTGCCTTTAGGGATAAGAGTTAGATTGTGTAAGGATCTCTTTTACTTTTTCAGTAATGAAGGATCAAACTAAATTTAATCAAATCCATTCTTAATAAAAGGAGAAACATTCCTATCTCTGCAGGATTGGTAGGTTAAATTTCCTAATAGACATTTGTTCTTATTCTATTTACTTTTAGTTACTTAAGATTTCCTCCAGGTATTTTTCAGCTCAAGTACAGCCAGAGAGCAAAAGAAGGGTAGCTCCATTTGTCCAGAAACTCTAGCTAATCAATAAACATTGCATTCCAAGGTTTTTCCTTTCACTCAGCAAATTTAGGACTTCTATGTAACAGAACCACAGTGCAAAGTACAATGAGAAATCCCTTTGCTCATTGCAAACCTGCTTTCTTCTCCAGTCTCTGACCTTAATACCGGTCACCATTTGAGAGTTTTATATACATAGATTCACTTGTTCCCAATATCCAGACTGTGAGGTAGACACTTTTAAATACTTTTAAATAATTGTACAGATAAAGAAACTTAGAATCAGAGAGGTTAGATATATTGGTCAAAACTGTACAATAATAATTGGATGCAGTATTCTTCTAATTTAGCTTGCTGTTAGAATCTCCATTTTTAAACAGATTTTTTTACTCTGAAGCCATCCATAGTGGCATATACCTGTAACCCCAACAGTTTGGACTGAGAGCAGGAGGAGAAAAAGTTCTAGGCCAGCTCAGGCTCCTAGCCAGACTTAGGCTGTCGAGTGAGACCTTGTCTCAAAATGAAGAATAAAAAAGAAAAGGAAGAGGAGAAGGAAAAGAAAAGTGCACATTATTTTTACTCTGAATAAATACCTTTAGAATAGGCATCATCTTGGAATATTGTTCTGAACAATAAACGATGCATGGAATCCCTCAGGCCGTGTCACACTCCAAGTTTAGACCTTTCAAAACCTTTATTGTTTACAGATAGGAGACAATTCCAACCCACAATCAAGCACCTCAATCTAGTCACAAACCACAGTGCCTCTCTCGCCTTAGGGTGATAGACTTCAAGTAAAAACTCACCATACCTCTGTCTCTTAAACTAAAATCATTTGGTTCTCACCTTTCCAGGCATGAGTGGGGCAAAGCTGCAAGTCCTTTACACATTTTGGCAAGTTATTGAACTCCTCAGCTTTGCACAAAACTTCTTAACAGCAGGACTGGTCTCTGAAAACTTCAGCACTGTCTGGGGTAGCCTTTCTCTCTTGCAGAATAAATACAAGCTTCCTCCCAGCCCTCTGGGGCTCTTTGGACCAATGGAGAGCTGCTCAGGAAATTGCAGGCTGGAGACAGCACAGTGTGCTTGAGGTGGAGGCTGGGATTCTTCCTGGACTGCAGACACTGCATCATTACAAGACTGGAGATCACTGTTACCACCACATTCTACTTCTGGTTCAGCCAGGACACAAAGGACATTTGTGTTTGAAGTTAGTAATAGCAGGCGGGCTAAAGTCAAGAGCAGGGCTTTCTTGGGGAGCAGAGTGACTTGGGCTACTTCGGATGGGTCAGAGATATTGACAAAGTTCCTTGGATACTATTTAGTCCTATATTCGTTCACAGTGGAGGGAATGTGTACTGTATGTGAATACTTCTCTCATGCCAGGCACTTGAATGGATGCTAAAAATTCAGAGAAGAGACTCTCCTTGCTCTCAAGATCCAAATGCAATACAAAGTGAACAAGCTGTTAGAGTCATGTGAGAGCCTCTCAGCATCAAGTTCTCTTCCTCAACCTGTGCTGAAGGATGGGCACCAAATTATCACTTAGATAAATCATAGCACATGAATATATAGTGCCTGCAATCCCAGCAGTTAAGGGAACTGAAGCAGAGGGGAGGAGATTTGTGTCTAGCCTTGGCTGTGTAGCGAGACCTTATCTCTGATGTCAAAAATAAACACACAAATAATTACTATATACCCTTTATGGAGTTACATGTATGGAAAGGTGTTAAAAATGATCAGGAACATCACACGTCAAAAATCTTAATAGAGATTGAGTAGGACAAAATCCAAAAGGACAAAGTGCATCTATCAGATATTATTTCCTAAACTTTGGTAATTCCACAACCATTATCCTAAATTCTTGATAAATTGGTGAGCTAAATTTTGGATTTCACCCCAGAGCCATTCATCTGTTTGCATTTGGACGGCTTGTCTTTTCTTACTCTTCATCCTGTCTCCGCTAATTATCACTCAAATAGTATTTCCACCAAAATTAACCTGAATTGCATCATATTCTGTTGACACCCAATGTAAGTCCTAAGGAGTAAATTGAAGTTCAACTTGAAAATAAGAAGCATTGCATAATCTTTAAGAAAAGCTCTGAATACGGCATTCAAGATCATGCTCATAATTTTTTTGTATTTTTAAAAAATTGTTTGTGTGAAATATCTTAGGTGAGTTGAGTGAGGCAATTCATGCCTGTAATCTCAGATACTTGGGAGGCACAGGCAAAGGCTCCTGATTCAAGTCCAAGTCAGTCCTTATCTCAACTATATATACCCAAAAGCAGGAAGCATAGCTCAAGTGGTAGAGTGCTTGTCTGGCAAGTGGTGGCCATGGGTTCAATTCTCATACCTACGTGACCAAACTCAAATAACAGACTTCATATTGCATGTTTTTCAGATTGTTAATTAGGACCTGTTATTGACTTGTAAAGTCAATTCAATGTATTCTGACCAAACATTTAAAATTAAATAACTAGACTAGGCAAATAGAATTGAATTGAAAAGAATAGACACCTAGACAAACACACTTGGGTGCATTACATTTAGAAAGTTAACAATTATTTTATGAAATGTTTGCTTTAATTATCAGGAGGTATATAGGCAGAGGTTATTATGTAATATGTATTTCTTACTATGGGTCACTCAGAAGGTACAGGCAGGAGGATTTTACAAGTTCAAAGCCAGCTTGGGCTACCTAGTGAGTTCTTGGATAGCTTACTATGTGGTTATATGGTTATATATATGCACTTTGTATCCTCAAATCTAAGCTCAATGTCAGTCATACATATGGATACAAATATACAGCTTGATTTAACACAATGGCCCAAATTCTGCCATTTACTGGCTAAATAAACACTAGCATATCAATCAATCGTGGTTGTTTAAACATGTGAACACTGTCCTTGACTAGTGAATCTAATAATATGGAAAACAAATGAGCAGAGAAGATTCCTTGGGGACAAGCCCAAGTCATTGTTTGGAAGTCAGGGGCCTTTCATGATAATATGGGGGATAGTAATTTAATGTAGAGCAATGGAGGGTGATGTCTGAGGACTTGAAAAAATCAGGTGTTTCTGTTTCCCCAAATTTTGTATAGCTAAAAATCAAGTGTATAGTAACACTAGAGCCTAGAATATCAAAATTCAATAACAAAAGTATTAAATGCAATGTATTTTTTTTAAAAAAAAGACTTCATAACCACGATCGAGCCATGTAAAAGAGCGGCTCTAGCAGCAGGAAGCAGAGAGGTTGTTTCCAGTGGCTGGGGAGAAGGGATTGAAGAGTTCCTGCTCCCTAGGTGTGAAGTTTCAGTGATTAAATATGAAGCATTACTAGAGATCTCCTGTATGCGATGGTAGTTAAACACTGCTATATAGTTAATATGTTGATAAGAGTATCTTTTCTCACAAAGAAAAAAAAAGTGAAAAGTACTCAAGTAAAACACATTTGAAGTCTTACCTTTATTTTTATTCCTTCTTCCCTCTAAGAATCTCTCAAATGGCAGCACATCTATACGGAGGGTAAAAAGCTATTATAGCAACATGACCGCAGACTGTCACACCGTGAATGACTTCAGTCATGTTATGGTTGATGAAATGACTGGCAGGAGTGTGGCTGATGAAGCAAGGGATGCTACAGTCCATCTGCCTGCAGTATGTTGGGGGCCGACTGAAGTGCCAGCCAGGGCTGCAGGAGGCAGAGTTGCCGGGGAGGTGGAGAGGATTATCTGATGAAAGGATCTCTGGCTCTCATTCTAGTTCATTTTCCTAACTAAATGCCGTATTTTTTATCTTTTAACTGTGATGAGCAGTATGCTTATTTTTAAAATGCTAGTTTATTGTAAAGATGCTGTACAGGGGCTGAGAAGGTGGCTCAGTGCTAGAGTGAGGCCCTGGATTCGATGCCTCAGCACCACATAAGCAGAAAAAGCTGGAAGTGGCACTATGACTCAAGTGGTAGAGCACTAGCCTTAAGCTGAAGAGCTGAGGGACAGCGCCCAGGCTGAGCTCAGGCCCCACAACTGACAAAAAAAAATGCTATTCAGAGGGGTTACAGTTACATAAGTAAGACAATGAGCACATTTCTTGTAGAGCATTATTAGCCCCTCCCTTGTTTGTCCATTATCCTTTCCCGCCTCCACCCCACCTCCCTAACTCCTCCCCCCAACCATCACCGGAAGTCTTAAAGTTCATTCCCAATATACTGTCTTCTTGTGGGTACCATTGTTGCCAATGGGTCATCATGTGTCCTTGTTTCAGCATTTTGTTATTCCCCTTCCCCTCCCCAAATTAGACACATGTATATACAAGATGCAGGGTACCAAAATCAAGTACTGTGGCAACAAAAAGTATACCATAGGGGGAAGAACTTACCAAGGAAACAAAAAAGATCACATAATACATTAAAACCAACAACAACAAAGAAAGACCTCTTGTGTCCATATCTTGGGGCTCATTTCACTTAGCATCATCTTATATGGTCATATGTACATAGCTCTTGAGCTTTTCTGCTAATCTGATAAAATTATCCTAGATGTATACTAGTTATTACAAATAAGGTAAATGATGGGACCTCTGTTTTGGGGTGTTTGGTTTACTTCACTTAATATAATTTTTTTCAAGTATTTCCATTTCCTAACAAATGGAGTGATGTCATTCTTTCTGATGGAGGCATAGAATTCCATTGTATATATACCACATTTTCTTGATCCATTCGTCTACTGAGGGGCATCTGGGTTGGTTCCATATTTTAGCTATGGTGAATAATGTTGCGGTAAACATAGTTGTCCTGGTAGCTTTAGTGTGGCCTTGTTTGTGATTTTGGTAAATGCCCAAAAGTGGGATTGCTGGGTCATAGAGGCTCTCTATGTGTAGTCTTTTGAGGAACTTCCATACTGCTTTCCAGAGTGGTTGAACAAGTTTATACTCCTACCAGGAATGCAGTAGGGTTCCCTTTTGGCCACATCCTCTCCAGCATCTGTTGTTATTAGATTTTTTTATTATAGCCATTCTAACTGGGGTAAGGTGAAATCTCAATATTGTTTTGATTTGCATTTCTTTTATGGCCAGAGAAGTTGAGCATTTCTTCATGTGTCTATTGGCCATTCTTATTTCCTCTTCAGAGAAGTCTCTCTTTAACTCTTTAGCCCACTAATTAATCAAGAGGTTGTTTTCTTTGCAGATTTGTTTATGGAGGATTTGAATTTTTGAATTCTGAGTATATTTTAGATATGAGGCCCTTGTCTGTTGTACAGCCTGTAAAGATCTTCTCCCAGTCTGTGGGCTTTCTATTGATTTTACTAGCTATGTCATTTGCCATGCAGAAGGTCTGCAGATTCATGCGATACCATTTATCCAATCTTTCTTTGATTTGTTGTGTTTCTGGGTCTTTATTGAGAAAATTTTGGCCTGTTCCAAGGAGCCCTAGAGTTTCTCCTTTTTCTTCTTGTAATGTTTTCGGGGTGTATGCTTTTACTTCAAGGTCTTTCATCTATTCAGAATTGATTCTGATTCAGGGTGATATATGAGGGTCTAATTTCAGTTTTCTACAGATGTTTAATTTTGCCAGCACCATTTACTGAAGATGCTGTCTTTCTTCCATTCTAATTTTTTAGCTCCATTATTGAAGATTAAGTGGCTATAGGTCTGTGGGTACATTTCTGGGTCTTCAGTTCTATTCCATTGGACCTTTGATCTGTTTTTGTGCCACTATCAAGTTGGTTTGATTACTATGGCTTTGTAGTATAGTTTGAAGTCGAGTATTGATATTCCTCTAGAACTTTTCTTTCTGCTAAGGATTGTTTTTGCTGTTTGGGTTCTTTCATTGGTCCATGTGAACTTTTAGGTTGCTTCTATTTCATTAAAGAATGAGGTTGGGATATTGATAGGTATTGCATTGAGTGTGGAGATAGCCTTTTGACAGTACTGCCAATTTTCATGATGTTAATCCTCCCAATCCAGGAGCATGGGAGGTTTGTCATACA